AATGTGAAAACCACTGAAATCTAACTCTCCATCATCCAACCGGCACAGCAACGTTTCCAAATCCTGCGATCGTGACTAAGACCAAACTTCTTCTGCCATAGCAACTGTGTTACTTTGTCACAACACCGTCTCAGCTGGGCCAGGAATCCAACATGTCAGGTAAGAACCACCAAAAAGTTTTTTTTTTTTTTTAAATCTCAATGATTGAATATTTTTTATTCCCAGTCACTGCTGCTGTTCTCCTGGTGCTGCTGAAGGTTCAGGTCAGTGGGTCATGTGATGCTGAAGAAACGTTACTGATCTGCCGCAGCTTTCCTGAAAACTTTACATGAACATACACATGGTGGTGGTGAACTCTAATCAATCAATCAATTAATCTGTCAGTCTTTCAGATGTGGAAAGTAACGAATTATATTTACTTGTATTACTGTATTTGGGAGACATACTGTATTAATAAAACATTTTTTGAGAAAAATAACCTCAGATTTATTTACTGACAAAAGCCGGAAATATTTTTGATAGTTTCATGTTATTAAAACATAATTTTAACACTTTATATATTTATATTTATTTTATATTTTAACACTTTTTTAACACTTTTAAAACAAAGCTGTAGTTAAAGCTGTTATTCTATCATGCACCAATGTATGTGGCCACTAGATAGCAGCACACGCAAGATTTGGAAAATTGCACATTAAAAATTCTGACAGTATCAAGTCATCAAAGACTTCACAGAAAAAATAAATTTTAATAAAATATTATATTAACTTGATTTTAAATTAAATTAAACTCAAATTCATACTAATTTTATACTAGTATGTAAATAATCAATCGCTGAAGAGACATTACTGTCAGATGTTTGGTCAGATGTTAAAAAATGTGAAAACATTTTTGATAAAAGTTTTTTTTTCAAAATTGTACGTTTTCTACATGTTTCTCATCAAAATACAGGATTTTGAAAACTTTTTTTTTTTTTGGAATTTGGAATTGGAATTTTGTAATTGGCCAAATAATGACAATTTTAATTTAGATTTGCCAAATAGTCCCCCAAACATTTTTTTCTAAAAAAAAGTGCTATGATTTGATGAAAAACATTTAGAAAAGATTCATTTTTTAAATATTTTCTTCTTAATTTCTTAACATCTGACCAACATGACATGCTAACTTAGCATTGCGGCTGCAAGAGCGCGCAGCGAGGCCTCCCTTAGTTTCCCTGGACCGCAGAAAGTAAGGCTGCTCTCTGGCAATCACTTAATTTCTTAAACCGTTCATATTCACTATCCAAGTCACTATTTGGACGGGTATCATTTCTTCCCTGGCTACCTGTCCAGCACTCCTTTGCCCAATGGCCTTGTTTACCACATTTTCTACAAACATCATTAGATCTACATCTGTTTCCTTTCCATCTTGATCTTCTGTGTTTGACCCTGTGCTTGTTTACACCTACATCTAGGCTCTCACCATGTACTCATTGTTAAATATGACATGGTCTGTGACAGCCTCTCCTTGAATCGCAACCTTAACGTGGTGGAGGGGTTTGAGTATCCGAATGAACCTAGGAGCTATGTTGTCGGGGGCTTAACGCCCCTGGTAGGGTCTCCCAAGGCAAACAGGTCCTAGGCGACGGATCAGACAAATAGCGGTTCAACCCCCCCTTTGTGATGAAGAAAAATACAGC